ACAGCTGCTCTGGGTACCTGTGCCAGGGCTGCCCACCCTCCCAGGGAACAATTCCTAATTCCCAATATCCCATCCATCCCTGCCCTCTGGCTCTGGGAAGCCATTCCCTGTGTCCTGGCACTCCAGACCCTTGTCCAAAGTCATCCTGGACTCTCCATGCAGCCCTTCCAAATTTCCAGAACACAATTCCCCATGTGACAATGTCAGGTGGTTCTTCTGGGAGCAGCAGCTCCACGGCTCTCTGTGCTGAGCATTGCACAGAAGGATTTCTCTGAATCTGCCTGGGCTGGGTTCACCTTTACATGCTTAAAAACTCTTGTCACCATTTCCACCTCCCCTCCCTCTGATCCCGCATTCATTTGAAGCAGTAGTTAATGAACAGCAGCTAATAAACCAGGCAATTTCATAACTGAGTTCCTCTGGCACTCCGGGGTGAATACCATCTGGGCCTGACATTTTCTACATGTTCCTTTTATTGATTTGTTCTAAAAATCTCCTCTCTTGGCATTTCAATTTGAAAGAGTTGGGCTGACTCATGTCCTGTAGCAGAAATTTCATTGTGGAGCTCTGTGCTCCTCCACAGAAGAGAAACTCAATGAGCTTTGCTGCTGGAGTGGTTTGAATACCAGAGCTGGGCATTTTGGTGCCCTTTTTTTGGGACAGAACCTGCTGCTTCTCCCCCTTTGCCTCCCTGCTCTTTTATTCCAGTAAGAAGCAAATGAAGAAAAGGCTGAGACATAAAAGTTTCCTTGGATTCTGAGGTCCTGCAGCCAAGAGCAGGGAGCAAAGAGGAGCTCAGCTCCATCCCAGTGCACTGACACACCCTGATCCCAGAAAAGGGACTGGAGGAGCTGCCCAGCAGCTCTGGATCCAGTCCTGCCCACACAAGGACAGAAAATCTGGGCTATGGTGAGGCTAATCCTTGGATCTGACAGGAGAAAAATCCTTTTGGCCAAAGTGCAGGAATTCCATAGGATCATTAGGGCTGGAAAAGCCCTCCTGGACCATTGTTCCCCAGCACTGCCATGCCCCAGTGCCACATCCCCATTCCTGGTGTGATGATTCCTCCACTTCCCTGGGCAGCCTGCTCCATGCCAGCAGGGAATGCTGAGGTTGTGTGGATTCCTGCTGGCCATGCCCAGAGGCTGATCTGTTCCAGATCTGTTCCAGACCTGCCAAACCTTCCCCAGGAGCCCAGACCTGCCCACACAGGCGGCCGAGCGCTGCTGGGCTCCTTCCTCCTCTCCCAGACACAAACAGAAACATGGACTTGCATCCTGAGAGGGAGGAAGGAAGCACTGCTGGTGCTCAGGAGCATCCTAACAGCTGGCTGGGCCTTTGTGCTGTTCCCAGCGGGGGGACTGCAATCCCAGGCAGCTCTGGGATTGTTGGTGTTGTGGGATGAACTCCCAGCACCGTCTGTTAGCTCTGATCCCCCAGCAGCAGATGAGAGATAGAACTTTATGGATGATAAAAACAACCCCTGCTCCCCAAACACCATTAAAACAAGGCAGTAAAGAGTTATTGGTCAAATTAAACATAGCTAATTATGAGGTTTTCATGGCCATGGGAGCGTTAGCCCAGCTCTCCCTGCAGAGAGCACACCAGTTGTGCCCTGCTCCAGAGCTGAGGCAGCCAAATATTCAGGGAATGAGGTGGCTTCTTGCAGACTGGAGAGGAGAAAACTGCATGTTTTACAGCAAAACCTGCAGCACACTTGGGTGATGTGTCAAGGAACAGTCACTGCAACTCAAATACTGAGATTGCAGAACGAAACCCTGGATGTGAAGCGACAAAAAATAATTTTGGGCTCCAGCTGAGACAAAAATCTAAGGGATGTACCTGCCCTTCTCTCCTTCCAGGCTGGAGTCCCAGCTCTTGCCCCCAGCCCATAGCAGGGCAGTTGTTTTCCAGAGAAGGAGCAATTTCTTGGCTGGCAGAGGAAGGAGCCCTGTCCCAGTCCCTGACTGCAGACCCCAGGTCCCAGCTGTGGCAGGGGATTGACCACCCTCTGGAATTAGCAGGATAAGAGCATTGGAATGGGGACCCTCCTTTCAGATGCCACTTTTTAGTCAGAGCCACACAATTATTATTACTACAGTGACACCAGCCCTTGCCACGCTGGGACTGCTGGGTTTTGTTACCAGTGAGGTTTTGCTGCTCCCAACACCTTTCCTAAACTGGCTGGTTGCTCTGAACACCTGTGAGGTTCTGGGATGTGCTTTGGGAAGGAACAATGAGGAGCTGGAATGCAGCCTCTGTGCACCAGAGCACGGACTCTTGTTTACCAGCTACCTCAAAAAACAAGAATCCCTGTTCCCCTTCCTGTTGTCTGACAAGGAAGCTATTCCAGGCTCTCCCTGCTATGGGGTCCTTCCTTTATTTTCCAGTTGTTTATTCATGGACAGCTATAATCACTTCTTCTCTTGCCAACACTATTTTAAGCATAAAGATTTCCTCTGCTGGTGCGTATCTCCTCAAAATAATGACAAGTTACAGTCAGATCCCTGGAGAGCACTTGCTTCCTTAGGAGCAGCAACCCCCAGCTCTTGGGGTCTCCATTGTGTCATTGGATCACTCCTGGTTGCATCTCCAGAGTTTTCCCTGCTGGTGTCGTTTCAGCTCCCTCTCCCAGAGATGGATAATCAGATTTGTGTGTAATTCCCCTAATCAAACCCAGTAACAATCCACCCTGGCTGTGCCTCCCTACCAGCAGGGAATACCCCGAGTCCTCTGTGTGATTCCAGTCGCCCATTGTGGGCCACAATCAAATTACTGGTGCACTAACGAGCCTGCCCAGCCCCCAGCCCAGGCTCCCCCTGCTCCTCAGCTGTTTCCAATCGAGGAACAACTACTTTAGAGCTCAATTGTTCGGTCCCAGTCTCCAACCATCCAGCTGTGCATTTTATAATCCAGAATTTCATTCTGGTATTATTGTTTTCACAGTAACCCATTTCTTTTCGGTCTCAATCTGCCTCCTTAGAGGCAAATTCCCACCCTGGAGTGACCCTGAAGGGAAGTCCACTATCTTTGTGTCCAACACTTCCCCCTGGAAAGCTTTTCATTGTCTGCTCCCCTTCAGCCAGTACTAAACCCTCCCTCTCTCAGGCTTTGCTAACAATTTAGTGAAGTGCCAATTGAGACTGCAACAAATGAGAATGTACAGTGATTCTAATGGCTATTATATTAAAAACAAAACAAACCCCCCAATGGTTTCAAACCAGTTCTATTTTGTTTGGCTTTTTTAAGCTGCTGGTTTGCATGGTGATCTGTTTACAATCATGCCTCTCAGCTGGTTTTAGATATGTTCATTTATCAATATTTTTATCAATTTATTTCCCCCACCTCTCTTCTCTGCTGTGCTGTCCCTCCTCAGAGCTGGCCCTCAAGAGGCTGACAGCTGCAGACCCAGAGTGGGTGGCCCGGCTGTCCCTGCCCCTCACCAGCAGCTACAAGGAGAACATCTTCTGCCCCGACTCGCCGTGCTCCGCCGAGGATGAGGAGGCTGCGAGGCAGGACAAACCGAGGACCTTTGAGACCTTTGGCAAAGGTGCTGACCCCGGTGGCGGTGGGACGAGGCTGGCCAGCACCTTCCTGTCGGAGATGAGCAGCCTGTTTGAGATGATCCTGTCCCAGAAGGTGCAGGCGCACGGCGAGGCGGGCGCGGGGCTGCTGCGGCAGCTGTCGGCCCGCGGGCACAGCCTGGGCCTGGGGGATGCTGCTCCGGGGCTGTAGCAGCTCAATGGGGGAGAGAACACAGATTTGGGGTGCCTGACCCTATCCCCAGCCCCAGCAGAGTCACTGTATGATCCGTGCTTAGCAGGTGTATTTCTTCCTTTGCCTTGCTCCATCAAATTTCTCCACAACCGATTTCACCTTTAGCTCCCCTCTGCCTGCCTGTCCTTGCCTTCCTCCTGTCCCACCCTGCTCTCCCAGTGCTCTGCCAGCCTCCCATCCCTCCCAGCAGCAGGAGGGCCTTTCCTCCCAGGACAGGCCCAGGCAAGGGGGTTGTGAGAACAACCACAGCACAGCGAGACACATCCATGTGATCACACACTGTGAAAATACCTGTCACGGACACTGCTGCAGCTGGGCTCCAGGGCTTCAGTTATTTAAATAAAACCTTTTTTTTCTAACACAACCCTCTCTGTCAGCAGTGTAGCTGACATAATATATGTGCAAAAAGCCTGAAGTGGCAGCTGGGGAAGGGGAGATGAGCCTGTCGTCTCCCATGGGTCTTTCCAGCTTCTGTGGCTCTGCCACTGGGAAGTTGGCATTTTGTAAAAGCCCCCAAAAATCAGCACTGGAATCTCTCCTATGGCTGCTCCAAGTGCCCACCACTTCCTTTTCCATAATGACTCAGTGCTCTGAGCTGTGTGACAAGGTGGGGATCCATCAGAGGCTGGACTTGATGTTCCCAGAAGTCTTTTCCAACCTTAATGATTCCATTCTATTCTGTTCTCTCCTTTGAGGCCATTGGATTTTGGAGCACAGTCCTTATCCAAAAGCAGACACCAGATGGCTGGAGTCTGCCAAAGGTAACCTGGGAAAAAGGAAGTGTGAAAACGCTGTTTTGAAATATTCAGTCACAAGCTTCACCCTTTTTATGGGTTTTCACTTTGATCTGTCTGTCTGGGAGCTGTAAGACAGTTTTGGGATAATTGCTTGGGTGGAAAAACCAAGATATTGGCGCAAAGGAAGAAGCACTCAGGTGTCTGTGCCTCTGCACTCCTGGAGAAGGGAAGGGCAGTGCTGACCCAGGGGCTCATGCAGCATTGTGGGGATGGCAGGTAAGGGTTTCTGGGCTCTCCTGGACCATCTCAGGTATCCCACCCCTGTTCTTTTCCATGTACTTGGAGGTGACAGTTCCCAGCTTCAGGTGTGTACACACACGAGCCACAGCACCAGACAATCACACAGAGCATTTAAAACAGAGTAAATGAGAAAGTTACCCCTTTCTGTTGCTCTTGGGGCTAAATGACAAAAACAATAGAGTGAGATTTTTCCCAGGTGGACTTTTTAATATCCAAAATGTTCTGTTTTATTTTGAGTCTCCAAAATACTTGTGCACATGAACCCAGGTCTGGCATCCATCCACGGATGGGTTTGGCCTGGCCTGCTCGTGCTGCTCTTCTGCTAACACAAATCTCTTGCTGGTTTGTTGTACAAACAAAACAGGTTCCTGCACCAAAACAATGTCAGAGAGCCAGATTCTAACTGAGATGCAGCTGTGCAAACCATGAGGGAGGCATTTGTGACTGAGCCCTGTGGGAGTCCTCTGCACCTTGGGAGCACAGGCAGAGGGACAAACAGCCAGCACAACCTCACATCTCCCTCTGCAAACTTGCTTTGATGTTCCTGTCAGAGGAAAATCCTTACACAAAAATACCTTATAACAAGCAGGTTTAAAAGGAGACAAATTCCTCCCTCTTGGTTCAATTTCCTGATTCTGCAAACTGCTTTCAGCCCCCCCAGCCCGTCTCCCATCCTGACCAATGCGTAAGCACGCTCTGGATTATCACAGCATAGGAAATCCACCCCAGGAATTTCCTGCTCCTTGTATCCTGCTTGATAAAGGAAATGGTCTAAGAAAGTTTGGTCTGAGCAGAAGGAGAGAGCAGACCAGAAGAACAATCAGATGTGTTGAGGGCTGGCTGCACCCCTCCCTTGCTGCATGGAGAAGTTCAGGATGAGGCCATTGCCTTTGTTTTGCAGAGCCTGATCTACACAGAGCAGCAGGGCCACAGGAAGCTGGGCAGCTTGCACAGATGCCCTTGAACCAGTTTAAACTGGTGTGAACAAATGCCTTTTTCCGGATTCAGCTGCCCCAGTGGAAGAAATTATCACACCAGCTGCCTGCTGCTGCTGCCTGCCAGTGGTGCCTTCCCGCTGGGAGCATCCCTTATCCACTCTGCTGAAAATGAGCTGGCGTGCTCAGCAAACAGGGACACGATGGATTTTGAAGCAAACCTGGCTCATTGTGTCTCAGAGAGGTGTGCCCGTGGGAGCAGCTCCCTGCCAGGGCTGCAGGAGGAGGAGGAGTGGGGACAGAAGGACACTGACACGGTGCAGGATGGCCGGGGACAGCTGACACCTCACTGCTACAGGTGGATCTGTCACATCCCATAAAAAACTCTGCCCAGTGATGAGAATTCACTCTCCTGCTTGCCCAGGTCTGCCATAATGCAACACAGAGCCAGCCTACACTGTGCAGGTAGCAGGGGCACTGAGGGGATTTGCCTTGGAGAGAGAGAAAATTGCCCAGAGGGTGAGGACCAGGACAACCCCAGGGTTAGCTGCCAGTGTTCCCATATGGTGGCTTGCAAACCTCCCTGGGGGACCATGAGCAAGACATGCAAAGCTTCTCTAATTAGAACCCCAGATCAAACCACTGTGGTACAGAACCACTGAGTGGCTTGAGCTGGAAAAAAGCTCAAAGCTCACCTCATTCCACCCCCTGCCATGGCAGGGACATCCTCCACTAACCCAGGTTGCTCCAAGCCCCACCCAGCCTGGGCTTGGACACTTCCAGGGATCCAGGGGCAGCCAGAGCTTGGCTCTAATACAGAAATGCAGGTGCAGAAGCAACATCCCTGTATGGAAGGTAGAGGACTTGGTGGTGTAGGAGATACCACAAGGTTAATTCTCAAAGCCCAGGTATTTAAAAATGCCTCCTGTCCCATGAACAGAGAGCTTTCTCTTTCCCTTCACTGGGTTCCAGCCCACACCAAGGCTGCCTTGCCCTCTGCCTGCTGGTGTCACTCACTGCCTGCTCTACTGCCAGCAGTGCTGGGGCTCCCAGCCCTGCAGCTCCACTGGCACTGTCCTGGCTCTGAAGGCACAGCTCCACCCTGCACTGCTGAGCAGCATCATGTGCAGTGTGCCTGTGCTCCAGGAGTGGGGCAGGGTTACAACACACTGTCCTGGCTGGCTGCTGTGGAGATTTGCAGACACAGGCTCAATAGTCCAGAAATCAGGGCTGGAGGAGGAGGCTCTTAATCCTGAAGGGAACAGATGCTTTGTGTGCACATCTGAAAGTACAGAAAAACACAGTATTAATGACACTGGCAAAGGCTGGACTTGATCATACAACCATAGAATCACAGAATACCCTGAGTTGGAAGGGACCCCTAAGGATCATCAAGTCCAACTCCTGGCCCTGCAGAGACACCCTAACAATCCCACCCTGTGCCTGAGAGCGTTGTCTAAATGCTTCTTGAACTCAGACAGGTTAGGTGCTGTACCGACTGCCCTGGGGAGCTTGTTCTACTGCTCAACCACCCTCTGGGTGAAAAACCTTTTTCTGGTATCCAGCCTGAACCTCCCCTGACACAGCTCCAGCCATACCCTCAGGTCCTGTCTGTGGACACAGGAGCAGATTCTGGAGCTAGCCCTATGCTGTCCCTCAGGAGGACATTGATGAGCCCTGCCCTCAGCCTCCTCTTCTCCAGCTGAACAAACCAAGTGCCCTCAGCTGCTCCTCCCAAGGCTTCCCCTCCAGGCTCTTCCCATCCTTGTGGCCTCCTTTGGACACTAATGGCTTAATGTCTTTTTTATCCTGTGTGCCCAAAACTGCCCACAGGACTGGAGGTGAGGCTGCCACAGTGCAGAGCAGAGGACAACCCCCTCGTGGCCCAGTTGGTCTTTTCAACAGAAATGATTCTGTGGAACATCATACTATGGGAACAGCTTCTCCAGCTGGACTGGAAAGAACTGAGGAGGAGAAGTGGTGCACAAAGAACTCCTTTGTGCCAGGGCCCCGTGTGGGCCCTCCCCTGGCAATACAGGCCCCACTTTCACAGGGCCACCTGCCCATGCAGTGTCCCAGCCCCTGGTGCCCTGCTGGCCCTGGTACCTTGCAGCTGCTGCTGCCATGCCCGCAGTCTGTCCCGGGCCCGCCTGCTCCCCGCAGCTGCCGACTGCCCGTAGTGCCTCAGCGCCTCCGCCAGGTCCTGCTGCACCCCCAGGCCCTGCTCGTAGCAAACGCCCACGTGGAACCTGCTCTGGGCATCCTGGCACAGCAAGCACACAGGAAAGGAAACACAGAGTCTTCAGCACCTTCTTCAGAGTTTACTGCTCTGTCTTTGGTCACCTTGCTAAGTTTACTGCTTCATCCCTCAGGTTGTATCTCCAGTAGTTCAGTCCCCTGGAGAGGAGCATAATCTCTGGTTCTGCTCCTTCCCATCCCTTTCCAATTAAATTCACTGATTTCCCTTCAACACCCAGGGCTGTGGAGGGGGAACAAAGGAGCAGCTGGCTCTGCAGAGCATCCCAGTTGTCTCAGAGGTCAGAGCTGAGGTGTCTTGGGCAGCCCTGACTGCATCACATCCTGATCCCACCCAAACTCTGAGCACGCCCTGAGACTGCCCTAAGAGAGTTCCAGCCCAAGTCTTGTGAAAACATCACAAATGCCACAGAGGTGCTTGCTGCCAAGGGTTGGCAAATTCCCCTTTAACACAAGAGTGCAGCACTCTTCTGCTCAGCCTCACCTCATTCTATTCCAGAAGAAATCTCAGGCAGCAGAAATGAAGTAAATGAAGCAAATACGCACTAGAGAAAAAGCACCTGAACCACTCAGACATATGTAGCTGCTGGGAACAAACTGGAAAGCAAAGGTTGGCACTGCAGTGAAGCCAAATGCAAACCCATGACATGTTTATGTGTCAGCTGTGCATTTTATCCTTGAGATCCAATGGGAGGCAAAGGGTCTCAGAGAGCAGGAAAGCAGGATGACACTCCTGAAGACACTAAAAAGACTTGTGGTCACACAGACCTTTCCAGCAACAAAGCCTGAAGAGTGCGACTGCTAGAAACATAATCTCAACAAGGCTTTGCAAAAAAAAAAAAAAAAAAAAAAAAAAAAAAAAAAAAACAAAAAAAACCCAAAAAACCCCCCAACAAAGTAGCATGTTTTAATAAAGCCACTAAAAAAGAACATATTGCAAGTGTTGCTGTCTAGGATGTAACTGGTAGAGGCAAGTGAAGTGAAGAAGTTGGTGAGTGGGTGCTTTGCAAAATGTTGCAAGTCTCAGCTTATGACAGCAATAAACTCCTTTAGAGATGAGATAAACACATTGAAGGATTGGCACTTCAGCTGTGACAAGAGATAGGGTTCAATCAGGAGAGCTGCACCACCATCTCTCACAGGATGAACACCTCAGAGCCAAGACTGCAGCGAGCGAAGATCCCCAAATTAGCATGGCACAAGTGACTGAGACACCCTTGGAAATCTGCAGGTCAGGCTCAGTTCTCCAACAGAACTCTTTATTATATTCTGTGGCTGCATGTAGGAAATCAGGGAGGATAAAAAGTGGGAAACAAAGCAGAACACAGTTCTGGTGTTGGAAAAACACTTGTCAGAGTTCCCAGTTCAGCTCTAGCAGAGAGAACAACCAGAAAAACGCTGAAACTGTGACTTTTTGTGCTGTTTTCCTTTTTCTGGATTTGTACTAAGCAATGCTGTCCTTGCTTCATCCATTCCCAGTGTTCTTTCAGCCAACTAAACATAAATTCCAACTGCAGGTAATGGGAAGTGAACCTGTCTATGGAGCCCTTCTCCCAAGAAAATGGGGACATCCCAGGCAGCCCACCAACATCCTGCCCTCAAGGCTGAGGCTCTGAAGCATCCACTGCATCTGCTGAGCAGCAGAGATGGGGAAAGATGCTAAGGATCTGAGAACTCTGACCAAAACATGCCAGGGGTGCACCTGAGGACCTGCAGTTACCTGACAGAGTTTGTTTGCCAATCATCTACTTAATGGGATAGCTCAATGTGATACTGTTCAGCAGAAACTGCTGACTCCAGGTTGGAAAAACAAAGCCAAGGATGAAGCTTAGGAGAGATCTTAAGCAGATTTAGAACTAAATACTGTGTACTGTGATGTCTGAGCTCCTGTGGCAAGTCAGGCCTTGTCCCACCAGACTTAGAGTGTCTCCATGCCGGAAAGAGGGGGAAAACCCAAGAGAAAAGTTTACAATGATGTAAAAATAACCATTCAAAATGGTCAAACTAACTATAAAGAATTAATTAAAGAAGATCTCAACACCTAAGGAGTGGGCAACACAATCACAAAGGAAACAGAATTGCCAAATGCAAAACAGTGCTGATAGCAAGAAATTTGGGTGTCACACTGTGATAGTTCCCTGAGACCAGCTCATCACTGCTCAGTGCCAGGCAAAGGGCAAGCAGGGCTAGGAATTATTGGAAGGGAATGCAGAACAAAGCAGAGGAGCTCATTATGTGAGATCCATGGCATAACTCCATCCTGAGTCCACTTTTAGTCTAAGCATCTTAAAATGGTCAAAGGAGAATTAGAAAAATAGACAGAAGAGTGACAAGCAAAGTAGAACAGCTTAACTACACGGAGACACAAACTAAACCAGCACTCTGCAGCCTGCAAAAGAAATGACTCAGAGAGGACACACTAAAGGGCACCATAACCACAACTATTAGCCAGCAGAACAGGCAATAGCTATTCATTATTTTCCATTGCACAAAAGCTGTGGGAACTCGAGTTAAAATGAACAAGTTCTTCAGGGAAAAAAATAAAAGAAGAAAAAAAAAAAAAAAGCCCTGGCCATTACAATGCAGCTGAAAACAAGGGGACAATGGCAAGAAACAGAACTGTGGGATGCAGAAACCTGGCTGCAAGACATGGGATCCACACTTCTGCTCCTCTAAATGCTGGGGGGGGTTCAGGAGAGTGCTGTGCCCACACTGTGGCACTGCCCTTCAAGAAAGAGAAGCCCGGGCCACTTGGGGAAAGTGCATGCAGAAAGATTCTTGGGGATCTAACATGACCTGTGAAGAGAAACAGCAACACTGGGGGAAGGCTGAATGGAGATTCAAGTGTTTAAATACGTTAAAGGTGCCTGAATTTAAAAATAAATCCAGAAACAGTCCTTCCATCCTCTCTATAAAAGGAGAGAAACAATGTGCCAAATTTGAAGAACAGATTTGAGATAAACACAATGAAGTTCTCCAAGTGATGCAGTAGTGAAAGATTTTGACTGAAGAGGGTGTAGATGCTCCATAATGGGAAAGCTGTACAGTGCTGGAAGCTGGATGCAGGCACTGGTGCTGTAGGAATTTCTCTTGCCCAACAGGGCTCTCTCTGTAGGGCCCATCTCCTCTCCAAGAGGCACCAAGGCTCCACTCTGTCCCTTCACACTGGGCAGTAAAATCCTGACACTGGCTCCCGTTTCCTAGAAACCCTGCAATCCTCCAGCTGCAGATCCCAAGCTGAGGACAATCCCTGGCAGAAGGATTATTTACCCCACTGTTTGCTGCCTGCAGCAGGTACTTCAGACCTCTTTTCTCCTGAGGCTGCAGCCCCCTCATGTAGAACACTCCAAGATAAGCCTGTGCCTGTAACAAAATCACATGGTCCAGATCAGTCAGGATTTTAATTATTTTTTTTTTTACTGATTTTCAAGCTGCTCAAATGTTGGGGTTACTGTGGCAGGGGCTTTTAGGAGAGGCAGAGCTGCCCTAAGAAAAATCAGCATGACTGGGTAAACACAAAGAATTCACATGTGAGACCAGAGTATCATTTTAAACTCCCTCTGGGAATCAGAGCCAGGGAATGGCTCCCACTCGTGTCCTGTCCCCCAGATCCAGCAGATGCACCCGCTGGCCAGTGAGCTCCAGGAGGCACAGGCACTGCCAGCCTGCCATTCCCAGGGCGAGATGGCACTGCCTAAATGCATCTCCTGAACTGGGAAAGGAAGGCAGGAGACAGATCTGCACAGATGAGTCATCTCAGAAAGTCACAGATACAAAATGAGGAATCTGTTCTTGCTTCAAGCACTGGAAGTTCCTCCAGTACAGCGACCTGTACTCTTGGAATTGAGAGGAGATGAAAACTGAGCTGTGTTTTCAAGCACAGGTCAGCTCTCCCAGCCAAAGGTTTAATGTAAGAGCCCCACTGACAAGAGCCAACCAATGTGTGACACAGTGGCTCTGTCTGCAGGCAGGGCTGTCTCCCAGACACTGTCAGCAATGTAAACAGAGAATCAGAGAATGGTTTGGGTCAGAAGGGACCTTAAAGATCCTCTAGTTCCAACCTCTGTGCTGTGAGCAGGCATAAATACATTGGAAGGCTTTCCCTTCCAGAGCTGTCTAGGATGTGGCTCCAACCCTTCAGTCAGAGCTGTGGACACCAACCTCTGTGATGCCAGCCCCTGCTGCTTGCTCCAGGAGTGCCACAGCCTTGTGCTGCCTGTCCTGGAGGCTGCCAGGGCCGTGCTGCAGCAGGTACCTGGCGTAGCGGTACTGGGCCATGGCGTGACGGCTGCTGGCTGCCTGGCAGTAATAAAAACCTGCCTGAGAGAGAGAGAGAGAGAAAAACCCAGCTGATGCATGCCCTCAGCATGACATGGCTCCCTTCAAGCTTCACCTCTCAGCTACACCCATCACAAGCTGCATCCCACCCCAGAGCCCTCCCACAGCAGAACATCGCTGGGTCAGGCGAGACAGAGGACCGTGAGTACCCCAGAGCCCTGGCACCAGCCTGCCCGAGATGAAGGGGTGGCACTGGGCCAACCACGGCTCAAACCAAGCTGCCTTTGCAGCTCTCCCCAGCCCCAGCAGCTGCTGGCCAGCTTGCACTAGGTGGCAGGCTGGAGTTACGGGAGCCAAACTGGAGATCTGAGAAGCCCTGGGATGTGCAGTGGTGTCTTAAATACAGCGACATGACAGGTTTCTCCTTGGAACCCCGCTGGGTGCTGGTAGCACAGCCTGTGCACCTGGAGAACCCTCAGAAGCTGTGGGAAAGGGATCTCAGAACACCTCTCTGAGGGGATTGGTGACACTGAAAGCAGCTCTGCAAAGCTGCAATTTTTATTATTTCCAGCATTTTCTACCGAGTCTTCAGAACCTGGGCTCTCCCAGGCTCCCCAGGGAATGGGCACGGCCCCGAGGCTGCCAGAGCTCCAGGAGCCTTTGGACACCACTCCCAGGGATGCATAGGGTGGGATTGTTTGGGTATCCAGGCAGGGCCAGGAGCTGGACCAATGATCCCTGGGGGTCCCCTCCAGCTCAGGACATCGCATGACTTTCCCAGCCATGTAAAGGAACAAAGCTCCAAGCACCCAGCACAGGTCCCTCTCCTGATGTGTGCTGCCCACACCCACCCCCAGGCAGGCCCTGGATACCTTCTCCAAGTCCTTTTCCGTGCCCCTGCCGTGCTCGTAGCACAGCCCCACGTTGAACTGGGCTTTGCTGTAGCCCCGATCTGCTGCCAGCTTGAAGCAGGTGAAGGCTGCCCGGCAGCGCCCCGCCCTCATGCTCTCGATCCCTGAGGAAAACACAGCCTAAAACCATGGAAAACAGGGAAAAGCACACAGCCACAACCCAGCCTCCGATGCAGCAACCTCCCCCACAGCCACTGGGCCTTCCTTGGCTCACACCAAGTGCTCTGGGCCACTTCCAGCTGGCTCACCAACCCTCCCTCCACAGTTTCTGTAAGAAAAATGGCAACATTGCATTTTAGGGATTTTTCTGGGCTCGTGGCAGAGAGGGATCACAGGCTAACACAACGTATGGCTCACACAGAAACAACTTGCTTTTCAGTGCTGCAACTAGTGGTGTATATAGGGCAGGGACTTTTCTTAGCTCACTGCATCTTCCTTCTGCTTTTCTTAGAGTTGCAATCCTGCAATTGCTTTTTCAGCTTGCCAGGAAAACTGTGAGCTCAGACAATAAAAGAAGGATACAAGGATATGACATCTTGTGTTGCAAAAAAGACAGAGATGGCTTAATTTCCAGCTACAGATGTCAGGACAACAGTGCAGGCTTCAAGCAAGTCTGGATTGAAATATGCTGAGATAAATCAGGTGGCACGATGGGACAAAGGGCAATAAATCTCTCCAAGCACAGTTAAAATTGCTGAAAGGAGGCTTCAGCTTGGGTATTTGCCATCCCTGCCTTCTCACAAGACCTGCAACCATTTGGAGGTCCTCCAAAATGAGAAACCTGTGGTTTAAGGGCAAAACAAAACCAACTCCACATTACCAAGGATATTCAATGCAATGGAAATATCAATTCGGAAAATCTGCTGCAATTGGAAAGCGGCTTCCTCCAAATGCCCTCGATGAGCTGGGTCACCCTGAGGAGTCAGAGAGAAAAGCTATTAAAGACAGCTAAATCATATCAGCCCTAGAGGAGATTCTGGCTTGGAGACCTGTTTGTATGGTAGTTCAGTCATCAGAAGGGTGAGGTCATGTGTACACACAAAACCCTCCCTGTCCTACACAGCCACCTTGCTGGGGAAGCTGTATGGACACTGCTCCCCTGCCCTCTGGCCAGGAGCTTGGTGAAGCCTTTCAGCACCAGCAGACCTTTCAGAATTCAGCAAATACCTGATTCTACTCAGAGCAGTCTGCACTTGATCCTGCTCAGAGCAGTCTGCAGCTCCTCCTGAGGGGCAGAGCAGGGACAGCTCCGAGCTCTGCTCTGGGACAGGGACAGCACCCAGGGAATGGCTGGAGCTGGGCCAGGCTGGATTTTGGGAGAAGTTTCTTCCCCCAGAGGGTGCTGGGCACTGCCCAGGCTCCCCAGGGAATGGGCATGGCCTCAAGGCTGCCAGAGCTCCAGGAGCCTTTGGATACCAGGGATGCACAGGGCGATTCTTTGGGGGTCTGGGCAGGGCTGGGACTGATGATCCTCATGGATCCCTTCCAAATCAAGGTATTTCATGATTCTAAGATAGCTCCCCTCTCCAAAAATAACATTACCCCTTGTTCCCTCTCCCACATCATGCTCAGAGCAGAGTCCCTGCCAAAACACCCTCACACCTTTGCTTTACCCAGTTCCAGCTGAGCTGCCCCTCAGCTGCTGAAACGCTGCAGGGCACAGCCAAATCCTTTCCTCCTGGGCAATGAACAGCCTGGGATGTGGGAGGAGGCTCAGCCCAGCCCAGCTCCACACCCCGAGTGCCATCGAGTGGCAGCAGAGCTCAGTGCACAGAGGGAATCAGGAAAATGCCCCTTGGCACCCACAGCTCCACTGCTGAGCTCCCAAGAGGCCAAGCCAGGTCCAAGGCCCCTCCCTGACCCAGCTGCAGGCTCTTCCTCCAGCCCTGCACAAAGAGCACCTCCCAGGATGGAGAGATCCATGCTCACCCCCTCAGCAGATCAAGCAAATTCATCCTTGGTGTTTTTGCAGGAACTCACTCTGTTAAAAACTGAATTTACCTCACTCTGCTCACAATGTCCTTGAGCGATTGCTCAGCCGAGTGATTATCTTAAAATGGGAATTATTTGCATCTAAGATGTGAATTGCAAAAAATTGGCAGGTTTAATCACAACAAGAACAATAATATAATTTATGGCCTTGTGACTCTCGAGCTGATGCACTCTCTTCAAGCCCCAAGTGCTTCCCTCTTTACCAGACAAGAGCCAGCCCTGATTTGCAGCGTTTGGAGTGACACCACCTTCCTCAGTCATGGGTTGTCTGGTAAACACCAAAATAGCAACAGCATGTAATTACCTAGTGAAAGATTGCATCAAAATGCATATACACAGCAACACACTGGCGCTGCTGAATTTATTTTTTTGTTTGGTTGCTTGGTTTGGTGTTTCTCACCATTTTCTTTCAGTGCTTCCTTGCCAGCAGACTGTTACAGAGATACATCAAAGGATGGGGATGGCAGTTTGTAAATCCTGGAATTTTCTGGCTATAGCAGAGGTCAGTATATCACATCTCCCTTTTTTCCCCCATAGTTGTGTGTGAGTGTTGCTCAGCCTGTGCTTGGGGTAACTCTAGGATGTGTTTCTGCAGGGAAGGTGCAGACAGAGGAGGTGGAAAATGAAACCTTACCTTTGCACTGTGGATCACTGGCCCCACCCTGGAGCTCACAGGGATTTGGAACTCCCCTGCATTAAAAAAAAATCCAACAAAAAAGCAAAGTTTAGCAGTGCTGCGTCTTTGTCTCTTCTTAGCCTCTCTATTCTACAGCTCTTTTCTAAAGATCTGATCTCCCATTCAGTCAGGGACATCAGGAACAGAAGGAATCCCAACCAATCTGAGCTTTGGAGCAAAAGCAAGCTCTGGAATCCAGCCCTGTGGCTGCAGCTCCTCCAGAAAGGCCTCTGGTTTTGATCTGAAGACACCGAAAGTAGAGAATCTTCTGCTTCTCCTAAATGTTCCAGTAACTTGTAATCACTGCTTTAAACCCCTGTGCTTCATTTCAAATTAAAGTACTTCTACTCTGGGTTTCTGCTCCCAGGCACTGGCTCTTCTAGGTTTTTTCTTCTTTACTAAAAAGCCAATTCCTCCTTTTGAAAGTCCTGACACGACTAATCAGCCCCTTTTGATTCCTGTCTGTGATTCTAAAAAGACTGCACCATTCATATCTTTCAACTGCAGCACTTTTCTACCAGCCTTAGTTAATTTTATGACTTTTTGCTACTATTCCTGAATTTCCAACAGGGTTACTGAGGTGCAGCCCCTCTTCACAAGAGGGGTGCCATTGCCTCCTCATGCCCAGTTTGCCTGGATCAGAACTGCTGCAGCTCCCAGCTCTCCCAGGGCATCACACCCAACCCTCAGCTGAGGTGCTGCTTCCCCATCTCCTTCTCCAGGTAATTCCTCTGCAGGGTACAGCCCTGCTTCTGCCAGGGGAGGATCAGCCCCCTCAGGGACACTGGGACAGCCATGTGTCACCAGTTTCAATCAGAATTATCTGACAGAGCACTGCCAGCACAATCCTGCTCTGAGCACGGTGGCTTAGATCGGGCTGGAGGTACACAAAGAGGAGGCAGCCTGAGGCCAAGAACTTTTAACCTGGGTCACCACAAGCAGCTGGATCCCACTGGACACTGAACTCCAGGTGCTGGAGCCTTGACCACTTTGAGCCAGAGCTGGGCCCTCCCTGTGCCTCCCTCTCAAGCTGTGTGAGAGCCAACACAAGTGAAGCAAAATGTCCTTTTAGGGCCTGATTCCTGCACTGCTGGCCCTGTCTGGCTCCAGGAGCAGCAGCAATGAGGTGTGCAGCAGGCAGGAGTGCTCCTTGCAGCCTGTGTGCCAGCTGCAGCCTCATTATTCCCAGACAAAAAAATCCCCCCTGGCTGTATTCAAATGTGTGTTATCTGAACAGGCCCCACTCACCCAACAAGCAACATCACTGTGGCAAACATGACTCCTATGCAGCTTTCCACCTAAAGAAGTATAATCTGTGAATTTATTAGTTGTGCTTTCTGTTTCTTTGCAGAGCAGGCATCAAATTATCTGATATTTCTCAGTGTAAGGCTCTATCGTGTATCTCCCTTGTGATGTAATTTGGGTTTTTGCCACACAAACAACTGCAAATCCCATGGAAAAAAATGGTCTGTATTAAGAATTCTCCCACTACTTGTTTAAACAGCATTAGTACATCCATACTTTAAAGGAACTGTACATTTTGCATGGGTGTCTACTCCTAAATCAGAGACTCCTTGTTTACTGTGAAAATGTTGTAATTTGGACAAACCACTGAACCATGAAAAATAAACAGCCACTAATTCTGAATTCTGTCAGCCTGCAGAAGCACCTTGTGCCCCTCTACCATGGGAAACCTCTCCTCACTCCAATCTCCACAGATCAGGGTTACCAATCCCAGAGGAGATCTGGAAAAAAGCACAGGGACCAAGCTCTCCTGACACCCAGCCCCAGACCTGAAGGATCAGAGAGTTCCAGAATGGTTTGGGCTGGAAGGGAACTTCAAGCTCATCCAGTGCCACGCTGGCCATGGGCAGGGACTCCTTCCACCATCCCAGGCTGCTCCAAACCCTGTCTAACCCGGCTTTGGACACTTCCAGGGATCCAGAGGCACCACAGCTGCTCTGGGAGACCTGAATTCCCTTACAATCACCTTGGAGGCTGGGCAAGCTAAATTATTCTTCAGGTTATGTTTAAAAGATGGGAATATCACAGCTGGAATTTTCTGTGCAACTTTATTTCTACTTCTTCAAACCCATGTTATGATGCAACATGACTGCACATTCTTTTTTCTATGCAGTCTTGCAGCTTTCAGTGTTCTGGATGCCCAATGCTCACATCTTCAGCAGTTAATAAATATTTTTGTCTCTCTCCACTGTTCATCCTGGACTAATCAAGTGTTGCTCACAGCTAGCTCCAAATGAGGAATTAATAATCTTCTCCTAGACAGCCTAGATTGCTCATCCCAAAACATCCACGAGAACGAAGTCACAACAAGAGCTGGCCAAAATCCAGCATTTCTGCCTCATGGAAAATTTCACTGTTTCCAATTGGTTTCATTGTGCTTTGAAATGAAAACACACTTTTGCAATGTCTGTAATCTCAGAATTGAAATAACGAATTTTACAGTTCTGCCAGGGGTAAAATACAACTCCCCAGGGCATCATTCAGCTGCTGTAACACTGAGACTGGCTGTAATCACCTGCTTGCTCACTCTGTGCCTTTAACTTCCAGCAAAAAGCCTCTGAGTGAGGCAGAAATTGCATGGAAAAAAATAAGATGTGAACACAGAGCTGAGGACTTGCTGGTAGCAATATCCAGAATGCAACTTAAAGCAAGTTTTAAGTTAATTTCCTGAAGTTTTCTTTTTAAACAAAGGAATAGTTTTTGATTCTACTGTACTCCAATAAAATTGGGATGGCTCTCGTGGAGAGCTGAGATGTCGGGATCCATCCCACAGATCTTTGCCACAACAACAGCAGATTGTCACCAGCACCAGCAAGTGTGGAAATGAACTGAAACACCCAGAGAAAGGGGAAGGACATGGAATTCTCTCCAGAAGATCCTTTGCCATTGCTGGCAGCAGCAAACTGGAGCAGGGAAGGTACATTCTGCTGCACTCTCAGCTCTGCTCTCTCATGGCAAGGCTTTGCTACCAGATTCCCCTGCATCATCTGCCAGGCGTCTGTCCTTCCCCTCCTTCTGCTCTCCCCAGCTTCCTGCTGCATCCTCACTTTGCCAGCCTCACCCTCCTTCAGTAGCTAAACACCAGGGAAAAAAAATCCTGTACCTCAGGCAGGTTTTTCTGTAGAAAGCAAAATGTAGTGAAAGAAAGCGATCATCAAGCTTCACTTTCCATGGAAAGATTCCCAGGATTTCTCACATGACAAAACCCTGCATTTTTTCACCCCTCTTCAATGCAGATTACCAAATCTCTTCCTCCTGACTTTTCTCCGTAAATTCCCACAAAATGGAGGCACAACAAAATGTGGAATGTAACCCGAGGACTTATGTACGGAGCAAAATCAAATTATTTCTGACATATATTATCTCTGACAAGTGACAGTTGGAGATGCTTGGGCAGAAAGGGTGAGGAGCAGGGATTATAAAGTCACGCTCTCCCTGGCAGAACTTTCCAGCAATCAGCTGTTCTGTGATCTGAGCAGGAAGCTTGGCTGGACCAATTAAGTCTCATTTCAATGTGTAATTTTACCTAATCACTTCTTGGAACCCACTTGTACTTCTGGCCTGTAGCAGTGAGTTCCACAATTTACCTGGGCACTGGCCAAACACAAAATGCCTTTTGCTTTTTTCCAAACTTGCCACCTGACCCTTCTGTGCAGCTTTTAATATCAGCATTATGAAAAAGAGTGTCCCTATTCTCTTTCTCTCGACACTTTCAGTTTCACAGAGCACCAGCACATTCTTTGCCACTTCATTTTTTTTAAGCTGAAGAGTCAAGTCTGTGTTTGGATGTAATTGTCTCCCTGTCATCTTTTCTCTGCAGTTTTGTCCCTGTTTTTCAGGCACTGTCTTTTCCTTAAGTGCTCAAGACGTGGCTGCATCCCAGACTCACATGAACCCACGGCACTGCCTTGTCCTCAGCTCCTTCCTTCACCATAATTAACATTTAATTGGCCTCACTGCTGTCGAGCACTGACTTAACCTTATCAAAAGCACATCCACAGTGACTTTAAATGTTCCCTCTGCAAGACAATTATTAATTTGACACTCCTCACTCTGCATGTGTATTTACAGCCACACTCCCCCGTGCACACTCGTTTAACCCACCTGGGGATTACCCTGGCTTTGGCTCTCGTGCAGCCTTTGCCTGTGACTTTCAGATTTGACTGTCCTGGAGAATTTTGTACCATTTGCTGCTTCTGCTGCCTCGTTCATCACCTCTTTTTTTTTTCCATATCACTGCTGACTGTGCTGAACAGAGCAGGTTTAACAAAGGACAGGGGAATCCTACAGTAATGGCTCTCCACTGTGGAAACTTTCTTGTGCTTTAAGGAGTCACCAGCCCAAGAGTAACCCCTCCATGTTCCCTCACATCAGCTTTACTTCTTTAGATAGCTTTGGTTTAGGTCCTGTCTGGATGATTTTCGGAAAGCTAAAAGCTGGATTATCTTGCTCCACATGCCTGTTGACTTCCCCAAAGAAGTCTTAATAGATTTACAACTCTCTCAAGTCTCTGCAAGGGAGCAAACTGGCCTGAGAAATAGCTTCCTAAATCCTTCCAAGAACTTTGATACAGCCCACTCATCCCAGCATCTGACACCTCTCCCCTGTAACAGAGTTTCTACCAAATTAGAATCACCTTTTTTGCAGCTTTGTGCCTCAAACCAACAGCCACCCACCCCTTTTTCAGGCTGTGCAATCTGTCAGTGCTCATTCCCCTGGCCACAGAGCAGGTCTGAGCTTGGGATTACAGATCATCCTGAGAGGCTCAGCGATCTCCCAGCTTCTGAAGAGCATCTGAACAAAGACCACGTGCCCTTAGTGACTTGTCACTGTTCAATTTAGCAGTTTGCCCAAAAGCTCTTCCTGTTGACTCTCAGTAGGAGCTGTTTGTCAGACACACAGTCACTCCAGGACGTTCAGCTGTGCCAACTGCAGGCACTGCTGTCTCCACTCCTTCCCACCACTCCTCTCAGAGGTCCATGTCCAGTCACCTGCCAGTGCTGGAGTGCTTCTTAATATGCTCCAGGCTAAAGCAGATGGGTTAAACAGTCTAATTGGCAGTTTAGGTAAATTAACCTGGCTGTTTTCCTGGAGTTAATTAGGAGACATGGAAACAAAATGCTCTATTTGCCAACTGATGGGAATGGTAACCTCTGGCAGGAGAAGGTTTGATAAGCAGTGATGGGCAGTAGCTGAAATCAACACAGAAGGAAGCCAAAATTCTGAGAGAAAGCAGAAAATGGGGAACAGCTCCGACCTTTTCTGCAGCACCTTTATTTTTAAAATTCTTCCCTGTGAGGGTGCTGAGACCCTGGCACAGAGAAACCGTGGCTGCTTCCTGGATCCCTGGAAGTGTCCAAGGCCAGGCTGGACAGGGCTTGGAGCAGCCTGGGACAGTGGAAGGTGCCCCTGACATGGCAGGGAACGAGAAGAGCTTTCAGGTCTCTCTCAACCCAAACCAGTCTGTGATCTTGTGATTTAGCCAACATCTGTGGTTGGTTTCCTGATGTGTCTCTTCTACACCACTACTGAATGTTGTCCCTTTACCACCTGTTCCAGCAGGCCTCCTGCTTCCTACAACTTTCCTGAGGCCATTAGCAGTGTTTCCATATCCAGTGAGCTCTAGGCCTCATCTGATCTTCCACAGTGTGACTTTAAATTCCCTATGTAGGACACGCTTTCCTGGGCGAGACTTCAATTTTGTTGGAGTCTATCTTTCTATTTTTATAAAACTCATTTTAATAATGTCTTTGATACCTCCTTCCACTGTCTTATCTATGGCATAAGAGCTCAGAAATGCATCCTCATCTTGCAGGATGATAATAATTCCTCCAGTTTCACACCATGTACACCAGTCTCCCAGATCAATGGTGCAGCATCCTCCTGAATCCTTCTGGCTGCAAACATCTGTCCACAATAAAAGAACAGGACTGGATGCTGCAATCAGTCTGCTAAGGCAGAGCACTGTTGGGAAAGCTGTTGTCACCTGCAGTTACAGCACAGCCTTGTCTCTGCCTTCAGGAGGTTTTTTCCTCCTGTCTCTGGACTGTGAATCATCTCTCTGAAATTCTGCCTTTCCACTCTCACCTGCCTCCTCTAATGTCAATAAATTGCTACACACTCCGTGGCTCTGAGCTTGCCTCGGAGCAAGTCCCAGGTCCTTCTGGCAGGAGTATCCCGCCCGCAGCAAATGGCACATACCTGCTTCTGCCCAGGGCTGCCTGTCTCCTGGCCCCGAGGGGATGCCTGAGGATGAATTCTCTGCTACAGCCTCTGGACGTGCTTTCTGCAGGAGCTGGGAGCCCAGCTGCTCGCCAGGACAGCTGTTGGAGGCTTCAGTCACCACTGTAACACAGAGCACAAAGGCCGTGTCTGCTCCAGGTGACAACATCGGTCTGTGCAGGGACTCAGCGTCCTGTGACCACAGACAGGCAGGAGGAAAGTTCGTGCAGCAGAACCCAGAACGGAAAACAGAGGTAAGGGCACACAGAGTGGGACTGCAGCACAGCGTGAAGAAGCAGAGATTCTCCCGACACTCTCGGCAGGGCCCGAGAGCGGCCCTGGGCCTGTCCCGGCCTCAGACAGCAGGAACCCGGCCGGCAGCCCCGCCGCCCTCCCCAGGCCCGGCGCTGACCTGCGGGCTGTGGGGACAGCGGGGATCGCCGGTGAAACCTTCGCTCTGTCCGGGCGTCCTGCAGCGACCTGAGCCCCGCGATCTGCCGGAGCAGCTGCAGCAGCAGCGCGCCCACCGCGCCCTGCGGAGAGCGGACACGGTCAGGGACAGCCCCGCTCCCGCCGGCCCCGATCCCCCGAGTGTCCCGGCGCCGCTCCTCACCCAGGTGACGGCCTCCCGCACGGAGCAGCGCGGCACCAGGCCGGGCAGCGGCCGCCGCCGTCCTCCTCCTCGCTCCGGGCCATCCTGCCCCGCGGGCTGCCTGCAACAACCGCACACACACGGGCGCCGTGAGGCCGCGCCGCCGGCCCGGGCCGGGGGATACCCGGGGCGGGGGACACCCGGGGCGGGGGACACCCGGGGCGGGGGACACCCGGGGCGGGGGACACCCGGGGCGGGGGACACCCGGGCCGCACTCACCGCTCGGGGCTGCGGCCGCCGCCCAGCCCGGGGGCACAGGCGGGACGGGCGGAGGTGGGTGCGCAGCGGCCGCGGCCCGGCAGCAGCAGCCGCCACATCCCGCCCGAACGCGCGGCCCACAGAGACCGGCGGGCACGGTGGGCACACAGGGGACAGCGGGGACACCGGCGGCTACGGACGGAGCGGCAGCATGGCCGCGGAGAGGGGACACGGCGGCACGGAGCGAGGACGGAGCGGCGGCAGCACCATAGAGCGCGGCAGAGCGGGCAGAGCGGCCCCGCGCCGCGGAGCGCCACAGAGCGCCGCCCGGCCGGGAGGTCCGTGCGGGCACCCACGTTCTGCTCTGCCAAACGTGCAATGTGTCAAACATCTCTGAATAAAGGCTGTTCGCCGGTGTTTGATCTCTGTCTGCTTTCCAGCCTAATCAACAAGAAGGGGGATGGTGTCCGTGAAAAAGCAGCTCACAAGCTCTAAGTGATGTCCAGGTGTTGGGTAGAGTGACCTTGCTAATGATGCTGACATTTAATGAATCAGAAATAGTTAACAATTTGTCCGGAGTGTAACATGGAATGAGAAGGGGGTTATGAAACAGGGTGCTGCCTTATTGTTGTAAAATGTGGAATGAATTAAAAATAAAGAAGGATGTTCTTTGATGCTTGATCTTTGTATGCTTTCAAGCCGCATCAACAAGAAGGGAGAGTTAATCCCTGGAACAAATAGCACCTAACAAGCTCTAAGTGATGTCCAAGTGTTAGAAGGACAAATTACTTGGAATTGCCTTGCTAAGGTTTAGGGCTGGACACGTTTCAATGACCTCAGACCCCAGGGAGGTTGAGGAAGCTTGTAAAGAAGGATGTGCCACTGATGGTGGACACAAGGCAGAATTTATACACAAAAGGACATTTGACAGAACCCACAAGGTAAGGAAGAATGTGATGAAGCCAACTCAGCAGCCGGGCTGAAATCAGCTCCGATTGGGTAGGAGGTAATTCCAGCAGGGGCAGGTCGCAGCCACTGACCCATGGCCCAAGAAACCACTGACCCAAAAGAGAAGGACTGAGTGTGGGACTAATTAGCATGAGAAGCGAGAGATTCATTAACCAATAGAAGATAGAATCCTAATTAATAGGAGAACTAGGTGACATGTAGCCAGTGAACACTGATGCCTTTGTTTGCTAAAATGTAAACTAAATAAATCAAATACCTCGGCTGCGTGTGGATCAGCCTCTTGCACAGAGGAAAGAACCTGTTTTGGGCTAAGATCCCTGGGGATCTGCTGTTGTGTGGGGTGGGGGATAAGTCCTCCTAGGGAAAGCATGGATAGGGACACACCCCAGGCTTGTCATACCCAGGTTGTTCCTGTAGCTTTGAGGTGTCTGTGAGTGCTCCCTGAGCCCTGGGGGTGACAAAATATAGGAACCACCTCAACAGTGGGGAGTGCTGAAGGATTCCTTTTATTGCACTATAAACTGGATAAAGTGCCTTTTCCTTTCCCAGAGTTGCACCCAACAGAGACCATACCATGCCAGCCTGAAAAAAAAAAAAACCAAAACAGCTTCATATCCTCCTCACCCTGGGCTTCCACCAGGAGTAGGAATATTGCCCTGCTCATTCTTGCTAAACACTTGTTTTTTTCTTTGTTCCATAGGCACAGAAATTCTTGGTCATTCCAGCTTGATCTCTCTTTCTAGAATGTGGTGTTTTCTCTGCAGGTAATTCCCGTTATGAGCTCGAATCTTGTTCAGTATTAGCTGTGGTTTATGCTTGAATGGCTGCAGGTTTAATTCCAGCTGTGGAAGATCCATAATTGCTCTCCTTCATCAGCCTAAACACTTGCTTTAAACTACCAAATTTCTCTTGGTGTTCCACAGCTTTTTTTTTTTTTTTTTTTTTTTTTTGGTAGTGTCATAAGAGACACAAATCCTTTATCCTTTTCACCCCAGATTTGGCTTAATAGTGTAATTACAAAGTCATTTAGTTGCCTGTTTCACTAAATGTGTCTGTAATTGTCTCATGTTAGTAGACTAGTGTTTGCTAAGCTACTACAGTTTGTTTGGGGATGAAAATTACATGCAAAATAGAAATATCAGCATCTCCATTCTATAATCTTGCCTTAATTTTCTTGCTTATCAGGTTGATACCACTAATTAATGCTCCAAAAACTGAACCTGTATGTGTTGGTATTGGTTCATCCACAATCTTCTCAGCTGATCACTGAATTTTTAATGCTTTGGTCCTGGTTTCCTTTCAAGTCCCCAGCCAGGTGGTGAGGGATACTCTGACTTTTCTGTGCCTGGCAAGGCATCAGCAGAGCTGCTCTGTTTGGATTCCTGTTGTGAGAATTCCCCAGGACCTGCAGTATTCACGGTGTAGTTGTGGTTGGTGTCTGACCCTGGAGAAGGAAAATCACCGGCTGAAGGTGGGGGCATGCTGAGAAATGAGGAAGCAGCTCTGCAGGGAAGGACCAAGTGGCCAAGGAGGCCAACAGGATCCTGAGGTGCTTTTCCAGCAGGACAGGCGGTGATCCTGTCCCTGGGAGCACCTCTGGGTGCTGTGCCCAGCTCTGGACCCTCAGCACAGCAGGGCCAGGAGCTCCTGGAGCTGAGCAAGGGCCTGGAGCATCTCCGTGCCCAGGAAAGGCTGAGGGAGCTGGGGCTGCTCAGACTGGAGAGGAGCCCGGTGAGAGGGGCCTCAGCCCTGGCTGTCCCTGGCTGTCCCTGTGTCCCTGGCTACCCCTGGGTGTCCCTGTGTCCCCCTGGGTGTCCCCATGTCCCCCAGTCTGTCCCTGTGTCCCCCAGTCTGTCCCAGTCTGTCCCTGTGTCCCAGTCTGTCCCTGTGTCCCAGTCTGTCCCAGTCTGTCCCTGTGTCCCCAGTCTGTCCCTATGTCCCAGTCTGTCCCTGTGTCCCCAGTCTATCCCTGTGTCCCCAGTCTGTCCCTGTCCCCCAGTCTGTCCCTGTGTCCCAGTCTGTCCCTGTGCCCCCAGTCTGTCCCTGTGTCCCCAGTCTGTCCCTGTCCCCCAGTCTGTCCCTGTGTCCCAGTCTGTCCCTGTGCCCCCAGTCTGTCCCAGTCTGTCCCTGTGTCCCCCAGTCTGTCCCAGTCTGTCCCTGTGTCCCAGTCTGTCCCTGTGTCCCAGTCTGTCCCTGTGTCCCCCCAGTCTGTCCCTGTGTCCCCAGTCTGTCCCAGTCTGTCCCAGTCTGTCCCTGTGTCCCCAGTCTGTCCCTGTGTCCCCCCAGTCTGTCCCAGTCTGTCCCTGTGTCCCCAGTCTGTCCCTGTGTCCCCAGTCTGTCCCTATGTCCCCCAGTCTGTCCCAGTCTGTCCCAGTCTGTCCCAGTCTGTCCCTGTGTCCCCAGTCTGTCCCTGTGTCCCTCAGTCTGTCCCTGTGTCCCCCAGTCTGTCCCTGTGTTCCCCAGTCTGTCCCTGTGTCCCAGTCTGTCCCTGTGTCCCAGTCTGTCCCTGTGTCCCCCAGTCTGTCCCAGTCTGTCCCTGTGTCCCCAGTCTGTCCCAGTCTGTCCCAGTCTGTCCCTGTGTCCCCAGTCTGTCCCTGTGTCCCAGTCTGTCCCTGTGTCCCCCAGTCTGTCCCAGTCTGTCCCTGTGTCCCAGTCTGTCCCTGTGTCCCCAGTCTGTCCCAGTCTGTCCCAGTCTGTCCCTGTGTCCCAGTCTGTCCCTGTGTCCCAGTCTGTCCCTGTGTCCCCAGTCTGTCCCTGTGTCCCAGTCTGTCCCAGTCTGTCCCTGTCCCAGTCTGTCCCTGTGTCCCCCAGTCTGTCCCTGTGTCCCCAGTCTGTCCCTGTGTGTCCCAGTCTGTCCCTGTGTCCCAGTCTGTCCCCGTGTCCCCAGTCTGTCCCTGTCCCAGTCTGTCCCTGTCCCAGTCTGTCCCTGTGTGCAGCACTCAGAGCAGCCCCAGGCTCTGCTCCAGCCCCAGCCATGGCCCCAGAGCCCCGGGCAGGGCTGAGCCCAGGAGCTGCCCCTGCCCAGGAGGCAGAACTCCTGCCCTGGGCAGTGCCAGCCCTGAGCAGATGGTGCAGAGGCTGTGGCTGTCCCTGCTGGGGCCATGGCAGAGCTGTGAGCACAGCCTGAGTGCCCTGAGCTCTGGGATGGCCCTGCTGGAGCAGGGAGGTGCCACCAGGTGAGCCCTGTGGCCCCTCAGCCTCTCCCACTCTGGATTCTGTGAAGGGACCAGAGCAGGGCAGGGCTGAGCTGGCAGAGCTCAGAGTTGGGGGCTGCTGTGCAGGAACGTGGCTGAAGGAGGAAATGTTGAAGACAGAGTGGCCTCTCTCCAGGCTGAGGCAGGAGAATGTTCAGACTGTTCCACCTGAGGTTCTGCTGCTGGGGTTGCCCAGCTCAGCCAGTTTGTGTCCTTGAAGGCAGAGTGGAAGGGACATTGAGGAGCAGGAGGTGACCAGCCCTGAGGAGCTGCTGCAGGTGCAGTGTGTTTCTGCAGCTTTTCTGCCTGCTGGTGCTGGGATTTCGTTCTGTGCACCCACGGGCGGTGGGGGAAGTGGCCAATGTCATTGCAGGGCCCCTTGGCAAGGTCACAGCAATCAGGAGAGGATTCTGCTGACTGAGAAAGGGCAAGCAGCATACACTCAGTGAAGAATTCTTCCCTGGGAAGGGGATGAGGCCCTGGAGAAGCTGTGGCTGCCCCTGGATCCCTGGCAGTGTCCAAGGCCAGGTTGGACAGGGCTTGGAGCAGCTGGGACAGTGGAAGGTGACCCTGCCCAAAGGTCTTTAAGATCCCTTCCAACCTAAACCATTCTGGGATTTTCTAAGAAGGGTAAGAAGAAGGATTGGACAATTCTAAAACATATGATTTAACTTGACTCTTGGGAAGGTGATGGGGAACTTTCTCCTGGAAACTAAAAAAGCAAGATGGTGATTGGGAACAGGCAGGATGGGTTTAAGGACAATGATGCCAAAGGAACCCGATTGCCTCTGCGATGAAATTGGCTCAGAGCATAAGGGGAGAGCAATGGGTGTTGTTTACTGGACTCTGCCACAAAGATGCCATTTTACCAGTCCTGTGGGTGAGGTGTGGATGGGGTAAATGGGCTATAAATTGGATTGAAAGCAGACTGGATTGCTGGGCTCAGCTGCTGGTCAGCACTGGGTTAGCAGCACACAGAGCGTACCAGAAGGGGCTGAGAAAACTCTGCTTGTTATCATGATAATTTTAGGAAAATAAATACTTTGCTCCTGAGGGAAATAAATACTGTGCTCCTTAAGAAATATATTTATTTTGGTTG